GGGTCCAGGGACTTTTGGATATTTGTTAGGCTTTAGTCTATCATGATTAGTTGATTAGGTTCCATGATTCCTGTTTTTCTGTTGTGTGTCTAGGGCCTAGGCTTCAGAGGCTAGGGATTTGTTTCTAGTATTCAGTGACTTGGGGCTTATTCTTCAGGGTGGATTTGCTGTTATTGTCTTGAGGTGCAGAGAAGATGCTTCGGGTGTTAGGGCTCAGGAGGTTTTCCTCGTTCCCCGCTGTTACGGGGTAGTGTTCAAGGCTATTCGGAGTTTTTATGGTTTAGGTCCCATGGGGCAAGTCTTACATTTCAGGGCTCACCCTTTATCTTGGGGGCTGAAGTCCCATGTCCTACGGTGTAGTTTTATGCAGTGGTGGATTATCGTTTACGGATTAGGATTTTATGATCCAGTAGGTTGAGATTTCGGAGGTTAATCGATAATTTTATTCTTCTTGGGTCCTCTTGGGCACAAGGTTCCTGGATCATGATTTAGGGAGATGTCATCTTGCCTCAGGTTTTGCCTTTAGGCTCTATTTTCCATTGTTCAGTTGCCTGGAATTGACGTGTATGGCTCACGGTTTATGGTCTACATGTTATAGATTCTGTGGTATCGACTCCTTGATAACTCTGGGTTGATTGTCTGTTTCGTCTACGTGTCGGTGCCTATGCCTCATGACTTAGATTGGTTCATTTTGTTTGTATCTTTCAGGGGATAGGTTGTTCGCGTGGGCCCTTATCATGCTGGTTTCTGTGATTAGCGGTCATGAGTTTGATCTAGTGGGTTATCTGATTATTGGGGGGGTAGGGGTTGTTTTCTTATCGTCTCGGGGTCAGGGGGAGTCAGATGTCTTTCTTGTTTACCTTTGATGCGTAAGTCTTAGTGCTCACTAGTGAGTGTGCCCAGTGTTCTACTCATGGAGTCAGTTTTGAGATTCTTTCCTTTCCTTTTTTTCTTTCCTGACATCTATCCTTCCTCTGATTCTTCATCCGCACGGTTGATAGGTATACTATATTGCAAGGGGTTTTTCTTTGGGATTGGGGGTTATACTGTTGCTTCTATTTTGTCATTTCTCTAGCAACGTCGGTTCTGGCTTCAGTAATTCCCTCTATCCAACTGAGTTTATACTTTTAGCCCTTATTTTTTATTTTTCACGCTCCAGGTGCCTTTGTATAAGTCCTTTCTTTTTGAGTCCTGTTTAGGATTCTAGTCTATTATTTTCATGGTGCAAAGCCTAATCTCTTTGTTCCACGGTGTTCCATTTATGGGGTATTCTGCCTGCTCGAGGATGGGAGTTGGTTTGATTACTTTCCCTGGCTAGTCATAACTACTCAGCCGTCAAGGGATAATTTCTATCTGGTTCAGTCCCCTGGTCACGGCTTTGGGATTGGCGCCTTTTGTGCCTGTGGCTGTTTTATATCCTTCGTCTTTTTTAAGTTGGCTCTTTAGGTTCCGGAGTTGGCTCTCTATTGTTTACGCCTTTCCTGTTGTCCTACTTTTCCGGTTGGTTTGGGAGCATCCGTTAGTGTTGAATGCTTAGATCCCAGGGTTCCCCTGTATAGAGTAGATGTTGTTGGATATTTTTCACCTATAGCGCCGCCTGCTTCTTCAGGTATGGAGAGGATTCAGGCGTTGTCTCGTAAGCTCAGGTGTCAACCGGTTTGTAGGCATTCTTGCTCATGGATACCTCATCGATTTAGTGTAGTCTGCTTTGGTTTAGTTGGCAATCTTTATTCTTTAATGTTTAAGATTAATCTTCTATGTTCTG